TATACCCACAGCATGCACAACCGCACCTGGGGCTCGATACTCTGAAAAGGACAGGTTTTTTTTTCAGAATTGAGGACTGCTTTGACACTCTACTAGTATTCCTATGTGCCCAATGGAATTTACAATCGTCTGCTGGCATTTTGGTTACATGAAAATTCACGTTTATAGCAGGATATGCCTTGTTTGGAAGCAGATGTAACAGGCAACACCTCTTGGACTGGAAACCGTTTCTTTTGCAATATGGTAACTTGAGAGAATTGGATATAGTGGTGAATATCAATGGGTAATTTAGCTGGGGAAGTTTTCGTAGCTTTGAAAGCTCTTGTTTCTTAGAAAAGAAGGCTAAGTGAGGAAGTGATGGTCGTGTGTTTGTGGTGTGGAATCCTGTGGTCTCAAAAAGCAGTTTATTATTCTTTAATGTATTAATAGGGCGAAGCACGAATCTGGAAAAGGAAGGGAGAATGAGGATAGGGATAGGGTTGCTCCTTGGTTAACCAGAATTCAAACACTTCACATAAGATTTCACAGTTTAAATGTGGCCGATAGTATTTAGAATCCTACTGAATACCAATCTCATCTACATTCCCCTCTAGTCTCATGGGAATAACAACTCATCCTCCGGATCCTCATCGTCCTCCATCTCCTCGAAACCGTTACCATTTTGGCGCCTAGAAAACACTCTACCAAACCTAATAAGAAATTTATCATAATCGCCTATATGCCAAAAAAAAAGATGCCTCTCTCCTTGAGCACGCGCTCCCACAATAGAAGATACTCAACATTGGCGATGGGTACAAAGGCTTCTGGGTGATAGTGTATCCATAGGCGCAGCTGTATGGTACGGCATCCTGAATGTACTAAAAGGCCGAATAGACTTAATTATACCCCCACACCCCACGTACCTTAAGATGGGGGCCTGATTATATAAACTCGCACCCTCACTGTCGCACCCTCACTGTCGCACCCTCACTGTCGCACCCTTACTGTCGCACCCTTACTATCGCACCCTTACTGTCGTATCTTTATAATCGTATCCTTACTGTCGCTACGTCCTTACTATCGTATCCTCGCTGTCGCTGTTGCTGTCGCTGTCGCTGTCGCTGTCGCTGTCGCTATTGCTTTTGCTGTTGCTGTTGCTGTCGGAAAGAAGAGAAAGTTAGAGGGGGAGAGAGGGCAGACAAGTAGCAAACAATCGTTAGCGCGACACGTGCTAGCCTAACCTTTTTAGGAAGGTAGTAATCGGGGACTAGGAATAAGCGACACACACAACTAAAATATTTCCCCGCTTCTGTCCCTCCCTCTCTCTCTTACTCTCTCTCCTAAACAACATACTAGGGCAAAACCCTATCCGACAGCGAGGATGGGCGACAGTAAGGGTGCGCTAGTGAGGGTGCGATAGCAAGGAGGGTGCGATAGCAAGGGAACAGGCAGTCAGGATGTCCACGTAAAAATGCCTAGGCACGTAGAGTCTAAGGTGGGGGTATAGGCACTCTGGCACAGTAGTAGTAAATATATGACTTTTGCGATTTGCGATTTGCGAATTAGTATTTACTCTATCTGACATTTTAGTACATTCAGGATGCCGTATATGGTGAACTCTACGCCGAAGATCCTCCACTAAAAATTCATCAGCATAAGTGTTTCCAATAAGAAAAAATAGAACTTAAAAAGTGAAACCCATCTCCCCTTCTCCAAAACGGCAAGATAAACTCAAAATGAGTGCAACATACCACAAACCCTTGAACCCCCATCCAGCCATGCAAGAACCGTAATAATTTGGTTCCCGTCTTATTCTTATCGCGTAAGAGGATTATGCCAGGATGAAGCTCTCTATGGATGCCGTAGAATCGTCGCGCAGTAAGGGAGAGACAGGTTGAGGTAACGGGGTCGAGCTGCTTCATGATCATGAAGAGAATCTCGTCCGCGAGAGAGCTGAGATAATCTTTTGCCTTTCCTTCTGAGGGTGGGGACGAGTCTCTGGAAAGTTTGAATTTTTGCAAGTAATGCTCGATATACCAGGTGTAGCCACCTTTGTAGCCATATTTGCCAGGTAGAAACTGTTCAAGTTGCTGTTGGGTTGATTGTACCTTAGAGTCGCTACTGTCGTCCGAGTTTTGTGTCGCTATTTGCTCTTCTCCTGGTATTGGATGATCACCAGACACGGTCTCATGTGATGCCACGTTCGTGCTTTCTCTTGGGAAAATGGCAGGCACTCTTAGGGGTTTCTTTGACTTGTTGTCCGTATAGATAAATGTCTTTGGCAAAGAAGATGCCAAAAACCGTGAGATAAGTTAGGAGCGTCCGAGGACTATTCCAGAAAATGGTTGAGATTTACTGTAAGAGCTCAAGAGATAACGTGTATGACCTATTCAGTAAGATAATACCGCTATCACATACCTCCTCTAGTCTCCACACCTCCATTGTATGTAGAGACCTCAATATAGTGAAGCGTCATTCACTAACCTCGTGTCCTCTCAGAAGTAGTACTATACCAATGTCCCAACAACCCAAAGAATGGAAACTTCCTAGAACAAACTAAGAAAAACTATTCAAAGCGAAAAAAATGCAAAAGATCCTAACGCCTTTAGGCGTCGCCAGGGAGCGTAAACCAGACGTACTGAGTTTTTCTGTTGGGCTATCATTCCTGCGCTCTTCCATTTCTAGCTAATGGACACCATATTTTAGTGTGTACGGCCGTTTGTCTCAATGTTACCACTAAGCCAGATAGGCGATATTCCGTAGAAGCGTACAAATGATTGAAGGTTGGGTGCTTACTAGGAGCTTCGAAGAACATGGGACACGTGGTGGGTGTATATTTGTGTGGGGCTGGGATGCTATCGTGGAAGGTAACCCAAGGTATGGGTGGCTAAGGAGGAGTAAGGGGTTGTTGAACATGGTCGCTAACCTAGACCAAAAACGTACAGATCTTTGAGCTTCGTAATTAGGGGCAAAAGAGTGAATTAACGACATTGAGCTTAGGGTAACTATTCACAGAGGCTGAGACATCTTGCGAATATAAAAATTTCACTAATCAGAATTGTAGCATCTTCCAGATTTCTATTTTGGTTATATATTCACCGCATAATCTATGTCATCTAGAAATTCTCTTGGTGAAGGGCGTGGAACAAATGCTTTCTAGCTGAAAGCTGGGAAAAGACAAAATTGTCAGGTCCTTTGGTATGAATCAAAATTGAGAAGTGTGAGACAGAATTAGTCATAGATCTTCAGCAATATTTAGTTTAGACATACTTGTACTAGTCAAAGTTGATTATTTTCATGATTGGCGAATAAAGTATGTTAGACAGCTTGCAATCATACTGAGCGTGAATCTATAAAGAGACCTCCAAGATCCTATTGGTAAAGCTCAAAGCCTCCTAACTACGTAATCTGACCAATCATCCTGGTTTTCTAACAAGGCAGCAATTACCTATCTCACTACTAAGGTCAAATATATATTTGGGACCAGGAAAATGAAAATAATTTGTTTTCACTATTAGCCAAGTAGTAATAAAACAGTAACACTTGACAAAGATTCTTACTAATAAGTTAACCTTCCCACTAACCAGTGATATCCACAACCTCATCCATTTATTGCTGGTTTACTCATATATGGTTAGTGTAACGACAGGGCACCACGCATGGCAACTTGCTGACAGGTGAATTCACTTCAAGATTTCCATTTGCTTAAAAGCTGTTTATCCCATATAACACACACTAAGGTGGCCAATGCTATGGTAAGGGCCAAAAAGCATACATAGTGCCAGGCCTCGTAGGTAGTATTGGTTCCTCATTGTAATTAACCCGCGTTCCTGCTTTATTTTTATTCTTAGATATTTTACTAAGTCACATACCTGAACAATACAACATAGCCAGAAATGAAAACCCCAATCATAACTTCTTTCATTGGAATCAACTCAGAAATAGCTATGCTTTACTTTGGGCATTACAGGCTTGTCTACGCCACAGTTGGTGGCTTGTTTTTTTCTTGGTCTCAAGTTTTACTCACCTCACCAATCATACCTGTACAATAGTACCCCAGTCTATCGCTTCAGAGGTTCAGTCACATTATTACACCACCGGAACATCCGATTACCCCACTTTCACGAGGACGAGGTTAATTTCTCATACCTTGGGCCTTCGAGTCGAGATATTACGGCCCTATATAGAACTCCGTCTTGAGAGTTATCTACTTTGATGTTACGAAGATATCAACACTTGCGAGTGCAACATGATAGTACCTAGCTTTGTGTTCAGGCAATGTACATTATTATTCCTTTCGATGTCTCGTCACCATTCTCTACCTCATCACATCGGCACTGTGCTTAGCATGATAACAGCATATAGTCTGGACGCGGCTCTTCATGAACCTTGTATAAATGGCGCGTTGGAACTCGGATCCTCGAAGAGCATGAAACTGCCAGCTTGATCGGTACAAACTCCGATTTGCCATCCATGGGCTTTCCAAAAGCTGTTCGCGTTTTTCGGGTCCTTGTTTATGTACATGTTTTCGGGGTCTTGGCGTATGTGAGGTGTTAGAATACGACCATTATTGAAAACACGTTGTGACGGAAATATAATTGCGATAATGCAGAACAAGGAGGGTCAGTCACTGGAAACTTCTTCAAAAATGGATCGTTACCGGTTATTGGGATAATCCTTATCTTTTCTCTCCTTTCTACTTTCAAGTCTGGTATCCTTATCTCATTATTATTACGAATATCATTCCGAGTAACAACAGCTTGGATCTTCAATACTTGAATTTTGGTCCATACTTTTCGTGATATCACGCAGCCGGATGGGCTGGTTAGTGACCCCTGCTCTTAAGCGGACCAACTTCCACATCAGAACCCCTTCATACATCAACTCCACTTACAAACCATGTCCCTACACCCTTAAAACGGGAAGGATTTTTTTCAGCGACTTGCCGATCAAGAACAGGAGCCTCCTAGCGTGTCTTCCCAGTCCATCTACATTCAATTGATGTTTTACGCAAAATGATAGGAATGTCCTCGGTACTTCTCATGCCTTGGGATCTTTTTTATGGATATTACATTATGCCAGAAAGCATAATTCAGGATCTACCAGTGATCTGCTTTTTAAACTTTTATATGTTACCTTTAGACTTTTATATTCTTGGCCGTCCACCAGAAGGCACAGGCTTCCCCAGAGAGCATTGATTTAAACTTCGCCACGCCGCGCTTCGCAAAGCAAGCAGCCCTCCACCCCACACCTAATATCCCGCGCATATGTAATAAAAGGCCAGTCCCGCTTGAAAGGCTCCTCGCCTTTCCTCTGACAATACCGGTACCGTTAAGAAAGGGGGCAAGAGGTCAAAGAGCTCAGACTATTCTCAGTTCTTCCAAAGGCCCCGTCTCCCATTTTGAGAAGGAGGCGCACGTCTCACGCTTCTATCGATAACATGGGTGCGAGTGGATCTCCCATCGGAGATGGCTGCATCTGATGGTAAGTTGGAGTTGATTCGATCGAAAAATGCAACCATGGGTTGCATCTTGGGAGTTGGTAAATAGCATAAGATAGAGCTTCAAACCTCGATTTCTTCTTTCTTCACCCACCCACGCTCTTTTCGTCTTTCTTTAATTCAATCCTTTTAGTCACTATTCCGAATCTTTCAAAATGAAGACTTCCAGCTCAGTAGTAGCAGCTCTTGCTGCTCAAGCCTGTGGTGTTTTCGCTGAGAGCTGTTACTCTTTCCCTGGCGATGCATCATGGCCCTCTGAAGCAAGTTGGGCAACTCTCAACACCACCACCGGTGGAAAGTTGATTGCCACCTCGCCAATTGGATCGCCTTGTCACGACCCAACCTACGACGAGGCAGCTTGTACGGCTCTTCAGAATTCATGGACAGACCCCGGTACACAGTAAGGCCATTGGATACTCAGCCATCATATAACATGTGTACTGACCGAAATAGCTTGCCATCTTCGTCTTCCGTTATGCAAGCTTTCTTCGCAAACCAAAGTTGTGACCCCTTCACCCCACGAGAACAGCCGTGTCTGCTTGGAAACTATGCCAGATATGCAATCGATGTTATAACCGTGGATGATATCAAGGCCAGTTTAAGCTTTGCGCAAGAAAACAATGTCAGATTCCTGGTCCGCAATACCGGGCACGAGTAAGCTTTGAACAAGTCTGCTAGCTGTATAGATGCTAACGAGGTTACAGTTTCCTCGGAAGATCTACTGGCGCTGGGGCCTTATCCGTCTGGACTCACAACTTGAAGGATATTGACTTTATTTCCGACTACGCCGATGAGTTCTATCAAGGAACTGCCGTCAAGGTCGGAGCCGGTGTTTTGGGATACGAGGCGATCGAAGCTTCTGCCAAGGTCAATCAAAGTGAGGGCCTCAAGACACAAGTATAGCTTCTATAACTCTGTTAACAAAAACACCAGTTATTTTGTCGGGAGAGTGCAGCACTGTCGGGCTTGCTGGAGGTAAGTTTACAATAAACCTAATATTCAATGAAAGCCACTTGCTCACAAAAGGTTCCAGGATACACTGCCGGCGGGGGGCATTCTGCTTTATCTACCAACTTTGGTCTCGCTGCAGACCAAACACTCAGCTTTGAGGTAGTCACCGCTGCAGGTGATCTCGTCACTGCTTCTCGTACCGAGAACTCTGATCTTTACTGGGCAATGAGTGGTGGTGGTGTCGGTTATGGAATTGTAGTTTCACTTACCGTCAAAACCTATCCTGATGCCCCAGTGGGAGGCGGTACTCTTCAGTTCACTTCCTCGTATACGACTCCGGACAAGTTCTACGAAGCTATCTCTACTTTCCATGAACTTCTCCCAGCAATCATTGACAACGGTACTATGGTTGTCTTCTACTTCAGCAGTGCCTTCTTTGTCATCAACCCAATCACCGCTTACAACCAAACTTCCGCCCAAATTGAAGCCATTCTCGCGCCATTTGTTGCCAAATTAACGGAGCTCGCCATCCCCTACAGCCACTCTTACTCCGAATCTCCATCATACAGAGAACACTACAACACCTACATGGGCCCTCTCCCAAACGGAAACATCCTCGTCGAGGAATACCAATTTGCCAGTCGTCTCATTCCTCGTGACGTTATCGAGACCAACAATGCTCAAGTTCAGGTTGCCCTCCGCAATATTACCGAGCATGGTGTTTTGCTCCTCGGTGTTGCCACTGATGTCTCGTCTCCAGGAAACGTTGACAACGCCGTCCTCCCAGCATGGAGAAATGCCCTTGTTCACGCCACATTGACCATGTCATGGAACTCTTCTGCCACAGCTTGGGAGGCCATGATTGCTGACCAAGTTGCTTTGACCAACCATCTCACTCCTCAACTTACTGCCTTGACCCCAGGAAGTGGATCATACATGAACGAAGCCGATTTCAACCAGCCAGATTTCCAGGATGCTTTCTTTGGCGCCAACTATGATGCTCTGCTCAAGATTAAGCAGAAGTGGGATCCAAACTCGGTTTTCTACGCCGTTGCCACTGTCGGCAGTGAGATTTGGAGCTTCACTAAGGAGGGACGTATGTGCAGATCTTAAGATTGCCCTGTCTGTGTGATGAAAACAATAACCCGCTTGTAATGTTGTATGATGACGCATTATTTAGTATACAAGACGATTACAATGTATATAAAACCAAATACAGAAATAATATATGTATTAACTCTAGGTACGTGACACAACGAAAACATCACGTGATCACCTCATCCCGATTCTGCCCTTGTGATTGCCAAAGCAGGCTCCCACACAACCTTTTCAAGACAAATAAAAAACGCGTAATATTAACGCGTTTTTATTATTGAATCACTCTATCATATCTACCTACTGAGCTCTTACTCCTTGCAAAGCGCAGCCGCGCCTAGCGCAGACGCGCGTTGGCCCCAAAAATGGCCCCCCCGCCCCCTACAACATCCTCAGCTACCCCCCCCCAGCCTACCTCTATGTCCTACCAACTAGAGAACATTATAAACGCAGCTACAACCCGCGCAGAGGAAGCCCGGCTTGTGTTCAGCCCTATCGCAGCTCTTTGGGACGACTACAGACAATCCGAAGACGTCCAAAAGCTCCCCTCAAGGCTCCGCAAACCCCTCTCTACCCTGTGCACAGAAATCACAGAAGTAGTAAACAAGCACTTTGAGTCATATATCAAAGGTGCCCCTCTACGTAAACATATTCAGACGCCTAGCTTTACGCCGTTAAGCGCCTCACACGCAGCCCCTGACACCCAAGCTACCCCAACCTCCTGCAGAACATACGCAGCAGCAGCTTCTACCCCCCTCCCAATCACACCAGAGCAACCCCTCAGGAAAGCTGGGAGCCCCCCCCAGAGAAGCAAGGCATATAACTCCCCACGACCAGAGACACGCCTATTCGTCCGTATATCAAATGAACACCCTGCACGTGAAGCAGGCTCGTTTGCTATACTCACTGCTTTAAAAAGGTCATTAGGCGCCGATGCAAGCCTTCTCAGAGAGGTACTTGAAACTAAGTCGGGTTACGCACTCTGCACAGGGTCTAAAGAAGCGCTCCATGCACTTGCGTTACGAGCAGACGACATTAAAGCCTATATAACAGACTGTATAGTTGAAAAGCAATCCTCCTGGACAACATACAGACTCTCAGGGGTCCCACTATCAGTACGCTGCTACAACAGCCAAGGCTCTCTAACAAATGTAAAAGTCACAGGAGCCACCCTCTTTGAGACAATCCTTGACTATACAGGCCAAAAAGCCATCCACGCAGCTGAGGCAAAAGCTAGCCAGAACGAATATACAACCAACTGGCTAGTCCACTTCCCCTCAGCCAACCACCAGGAGCTAAGCAGAAGCCTACGCATCCTCGGGACCTTGGTTACAGTCACCCCCCTCCCGCCTCGAACAAGAGTCACACAGTGCACAAGATGCTTCCAGTGGCACAATTCCCGAACCTGCTCAAGAGCGCAACGATGCCGTCTCTGCGGCTCTACGAAGCACCCTGAGGCAGACCACACAACACAGTGCGCTACTGCCAGCCCACATACCTGCCCTGCCAGGTGCCTACACTGCGGAGGACCACACGCAGCAGACTCTTCCTACTGCCCTCTACGCCCAGCAAAGAATGGACCCAGAACTAAGAGTCAGAGAGAGGCTATTATAGCCACCTTTAAGTCAAAACGGGCAATAGAGGCACTCAGCTGTACAAGACAGACCCCCCTAGACATAGTTATGGCAACTGTAATCCCACAGACTCCTTCTTCTACTCGACAGATCATGCTCCCATCCACCCCTCTCATAGCCCGATACGGCTGTCCCTCAAGCCCTCACTCTCCTACCTTTAATGCCCCACGACTTTAGACGCCAGGCTTCTCCTCTGTCCATCCTACAGGCCAACGTAAGCAGAGGCGCTACTGCACACGAACTGGCACTCTCTATTGCAAACGATCACTCTATTGAGTTCATCCTTATTCAAGAGCCAT